TTTTTTTTAATACTGTGGCCTCAAGAAGGTAATTTTATTGTCCTACTCTAGTTATCACATATTTGAAATCCTGGTTTATCTCTGTCTAATGTAAACCTCTTGGATTTTGTTTTTGTTCTCTTCCCCGACATCCCTTGCAGACAAAGTACCGTCAGAAGCCAGAAAGCTTGAAGTTCACTGCTGTGGTTGACTCTCCAGATTTGATTCATGCTAAGAATAGCTACCTCCAGTGCAGTGATGTAGGTTTGATTTTACTCTAAATTATCTTAACTTCTGTTGTACTAATGACCTCGACTTTGCTTCCAGTATATATTGTTTCCTTTGTATTCAATGACTTTTGGCTCCGCAGAGGCTGTACAAGGCTGGAGACTCCGAAGCCAGGCACCGGTACACCCTGCCTCCCGATCACCCAGACTTCATCCGAGCCCGCCAGAATGCTCTTCAAATCAGCGATGTAAGGACAGAGCCTTTTACCTCATTTAAGAAAACAAACTTGCCTGGGAATGGAAAAAAACTTTCCTGTATATGTAGACACGAAGTTCTTTGCTGAGCGTGGCTGAAAAAAGCCCGAGGTTGCGGACAGCTAACATGTTGCTAGGACTGAGCTGATGGGATTACAAAAAGTTTGTTTTTCCTTTTGGGAATCAATTCTTCTTTCTAGGGCAGGAAGCTATTAAGCATTTCTGTCCTTCAGTTTAGCTACAATTAGTTACAAATTTAGATGAATGAACTTCCATTTGGGTGAGGGAGAAGAAAAAAAATATCTTCTCTTTCCTTGACTATGCAATCTAACTTTGTGGGGTTGGAAAAATTTATTTTAAACTGATTCTTTAGACACAGTTGTCATCAAAAAAGGTGGAATGGCATCAGTAAGTGGGATTGTTTTAAAGGGTTCAGCTTCCACCCCACTCCAAACAGGCATCTTGTCTATCCCAACTCTTTGTTTCCTGTCTTCTTTAACAGTAGCATCAGAGTAACCTTAGCTTGAAAAATTCTTTGATTTCCTGGTTTGTGTAAGAGGTGCTCTACAGTTGAAAGAAACAATCAAGATTTACATTCTTTGTTGCCACAGAGGAAGAAAATAAAAAGGGAAAGGGATGATTGCACATGAGTACAGGATCTGCCCTAGGTCCATTAGCAGCGCTTACAGCAATACGCACATAGCTTCCGTGCGGGCTGTTCGGCCAGCTCATGCAGGACTTTTGCCATCACAGTTTGCATTCAGCGCTTACAGCAATACGCACATAGCTTCAGTGCGGGCTTTTGCCATCACAGTTTGCATTCGAATTAAACACTATTTAGCACTACATGCATCAGTGAAATGCAAGAACACCTTTTGAAATGTGAAGCTGACTTTGTGCTGGGTTTCATATGGTCACAAACCACAGAAAGGGTGAACTAATGTCTTAAGAAATTAAATGAATAAAACCTGAAAGGGAGAACTAGAAGTGTCAGCTAAGATACACAGCTAAGTGTCTGTGTAGTAGGTATAAGAAATTACAAATTACTGTAAGAAGTCTACTAATGGAAGAAGAATCAAATCTAGAGCAATTTCTATTCAGGATGTGATTATATTTCACAGCCTCAAAGTCACATTGAATATGTTAGAAGTAGCTGTTATTCCAGATGAGTTAATGAAGCCACATGTGGCTGGGGATTGAGACAGGGACCACTAGAAAAGCTTGAAATAGCTCGTATTGAAATTATGATGCCATGAAACCCAAGACACTACAAGTAGATGCATCAAAAGAGAGAATAAGGGCAATATCAATGTAATATTGATGTGACTGATGCATCACAGTTTCTATTAGAAATTAAATCAAATAAAGAGCAACCACAGTCAAGTACAAAAAGAAACCCTGGTGGCACTTTTCAGATGAGATATTTTATCATTATGGAGAACAGAAAAGAAGTTGAAGTGCTATAGAACTGGATCAAAACCTTGGAGAGGGTACTGATGACTCTTGATACAAATAAACCCAGTAGGATAAAACATTTATTATTGCAGTCATGGGACTAAATTCAAGAAACTGCAGGGGGAAATGACTGTTTTGTTCTTTTCTTTTCAACACAGAAAGTGTACAGAACATCTTGGGAACAGACAAGGGCATCTGGCTATGATTTTAGGATTGACGCCATCCCATTCCAGACAGCAAAGGCTTCAAGAGAGATTGCTAGTGATGTAAGAATCCTTTTATTTCAAACACTTCCCAACCCTCTTCTCATGGCTCCCCTGCCCTGTAAAAATGGGTAAATTCTGGCATAAGTCAACCTTGTAGTCAGGTTTGGGAAAATGGGTAACCTGGTTAAACCAAATGCTGATAAGTACAAGAGTCCCCTTAATAATATCCCAAACCGGATTGCTGTATTTCAGTTCAAAGCTCTATTCTTGGGAAAAAGGTGTATTATAATAAGCTTAAGTAAGCTGGGCTATGCATAGTTAAAGCATGAGCTTGACTAGAGTGGATCACCTTTGAACACATGAGATTGCAGTTGGCAGGAGTGCTGAAGATGGAAGTTTCACTGCGTTGACAAGACCTTGAGCTGTATATTGCGTACACCAGACAGTACAATTAAAGGAACTGTGGCTGCTTTCAAGAGATGAATATTTGGGGATTCCTAATCTTTCCACTCCTTTAACAGTGAGCACAGAGGTCCTTCTCCTAGAGCATCATGTTAAATTAAGAAATACACTTTGGAATCAGACAAACCTTTCGCCTCTATGCACTGCAGAGAGCATTGATAGCTGGGGGGGGGCGTAAATTATTCCATAATGGAATTTGAATAATTGAAAATTAGATGTTTCTCTGTATCTCCTGCAGTACAAATACAGAGAGACTTTCCTGAGAGATAAAGGTCAGCAGATTGGATTTCGCAGTGCAAATGATGATCCCAAAATCAGACATGTCCTCAAAGTGGGAAAGCTCCAGAGTGAAAACCAGTACCGGAGTGGGTATGCCCAGAACAGAGTGCAGTTCAAGAGTCACCTTAACCAGCCGGGGTTCCTCCATGCTAAGAGAAGCCAGCAGCTTGCCAGCAATGTTAACTACAGGCAGCCTCTGCACCAATACACTTGTGATCCTGAGCAGCTGAATGTGAAGCATGCGAAGCAGGCCTACAAGCTGCAGAGTGATGTAAGTAGAGCTGAGCAGAACTGTCGCTTCAAGTGCTGGGAGTTGTCTGTGGCAATGTGCTTAGCAGACTTCAGCAAAGTTGTATTCTTAAAAGAACTAAAGGCTCTTTGTTGAAAATGAACAATTTGTTTATCATTGATGCTGTTGCTCTTCATATGCACTCTGGAAGATCCAGGGTAGGTAGTTTGAGAGCCAAGTTAAATAATACACACTGGCATATGTTTCATTCTCTCAGGTCAAATACAGGTCTGACCTGAACTGGATCAAAGGCATTGGCTGGACACCACCAGGTTCTTACAAGGTTGAAATGGCAAGAAGAGCTGCTGAGCTGGCATATGCTCAGGGAATGGAAATGCAAGGTGCTTCTGCTCAGTATGAACCTGGAGTTGTAAGTAGAGTAAATGATTCTTCTCACAAACCGCAACAGCACTGCTCACCAGGAGCATTTAATGCTTTTGAATGCTCCCTGAAGCATTCTCTCCCTTGTTTAAATTGAATATACATACTTTCCTCACTGAGTTCTGTGGCTGTGTCTAAACCTTAATTTAAAAGAGCTTCTCTAGGGAGTTAAGCACTGCCATGGTGATGATGCCACAGGATAGGAGTTAATCATATTTTGGGATGTATTCCTTTTAGCTCATGAATGTCTTCATATCTCTAGACATCCTGGTATCCCCACAGAGAGCAGAAGTGGAGGTAGAAGGAACTTCCTGTACAACTCCCTGTATCTTTTCCTAATTTCTGTAAGACATGCACATTGCCATGTAATCTCCACTGACAGTTACACTGACAAGCTCGGAGCAGATGCCTACCAGCAATGTCAATTACTGTGGCAGGCTTTTTGTGAAGGGCTCTTCTCCCACCTCTTCCACCCCTGTCCTTACCAAGCTGCAAGAAATTGCAAGATGGGATTTTCCAGGTTTTCCTTCTCCCTCACCTCCACAGGTGTGAGCCCTACTCTGAGATGGCCCAGCACAAGAAAGCAAATATCCATATGGGGACCTTGTAGCCCCTACTATTGGAAAGCACTAAGTTACTGTAAAAGTTACAATAAAAGGGAAGATCTGCACTTGAAATACTTGTTTCATTTAAGTTTTCACTTTTGGAGCAAGCCAAACAATAAGCCAGCCCTCGAGAAACACGATAAGGATAAATCCCTGATTTACTCCCTGATCTGAGAAGTTACTCAGGAACTGGATTATAACTGGTTGACTAATACAGACAGTAGAGACTGCAGACAATGTCATCTTAAGCCCTACATGTGGTTAAGATCTGATAGTTCCAGGGAAATCTACAGGTGTGTTATCCATGTGGAAATCAGGTGTTTCTCTGGTTTCCTGTGGAAATTAGGGTTTGAGCACATTCAGTTCTTGGATAGTTGTATTTAACTTACATGAATGGGTCAGTTATTTGCATATTTTCCTAGTAGAGATTAGTTTAGTGCAGAGCAGCCATTCAGATTTTGCCCACTAGTTTGCCAGTTAATTTTTAATTTATAAATATTTTTACAGAATAATAAAGCAATTAAAACCTCCTATCCACTGGCTGTCCTCACAATTTGGTTGGGTTTAATATTACAGAACCAGTCGGAGACAGATGGATGTCAGCAAGTTACAGTGAACCCTGATGCTTCAGAAATTCTGCAAGTGAAGAGAAGGAAAATGCAGCTGTATAAGAAATAATCAGAAACATGGCACAAAATAATTAGATGTTTTTTCAGCTTGTCCTGCAAATCCTGTAGCTTTTCCTGCTTTCCAAGAAGCAAAATACATGGCATCTACAATGTTTTTTTGTTTGTTTTAAAAAGCAACCTAAACATTGCAACTTTAAAACTGGTCTTTTTATTATTTTTGTGTGTGAATACTGTGTTATTCATCACCATATGTGTTATGAAGTCTGGTATTTATTTAAAGCTGTAAATGAAATTACTAGATGACTGGCAGGCTCAGCTTTGTACTACAGATGAATGAACCTGATTGGTAGAATATAAAATCATTTGTATTGAATAAATCAAATGAATCTGATTCTGCACTTGTCATCTTTGGAAACGTTTATGTTCTTGGATTATTGGTACCATTGACTTAAGCCCCCTAAATCACACTTTTGTATCCTCTTAACAGATGAACAAGACAAGGGACAGTGGAAACCAAGTTATCGTTGTCTAACATGTCACGTCTTTTAATGGACACCAGAGAGGTTGTTCTTGATTTACATATATTCAGATCACAATTAACTCTTCAGTGTTTTTCAAATCTTCTGATGCAAAAAATCAGTTAGTTTGTCAGAAATTATTGCAATAGAGTAGCTATTGACAGATTAGGTAGCTGCTTAGTTGTAAGCCCTAGAACTCAGATGAAAGAGACATCACTGATTTAACGAATTGACTCTTCACATGCAAGTATGTCTATTTTTATGTCCTAATTTAACACCAATCCCATTTTCCACATTTCCCATTAGGGCTGCAGAATCAGGCAAAAATACACCATTCTGCCTGGAAACCTTCTAAAAACCATAGAATTATCCAAGAGTTTTAGATCCAACTCTTCAAAGGATTTTAAAAGCCCCTAGGTCTCATCGGTATGAAGTGCAGTTAAGCACACATATATCATTGTGGGTCTGGAGCATAATGACTAAGTCTCTCATCAGAAGTAAAGAGAATATTTCTGCTAGAGATTTTTTTTTCCTCCTCCTTCAACCTGGAATGCATCAATGATGGAATTTAGGCTTGTTAGCCCTACAGAAGAGCTTTTATAAGTAATTCTCCTGCCTGACCCTCCCTCCTTAGATTTTTCTAGTGGTCTCAGTCTTGCAAACACAGACACATAAGGCATTTGCAAATATATAAAATACTATTGACTTTGGGAGCACACCAATAGCTTTGATGTGTCAGATTCCAGTGTCTGTAGTCAAAACACTTCAGCAAGGTGCATGCGGGGAAGAGGGAAAGGGTGGTAGCAGCTGAGCCTGTAAGATTTTCAGGGGCAAGGGCTTGAAAAGCAAAACTGAAAAATGAATGTTGCTGTGACTGATTTAGGGAAGAACTGGTGTTGCTTTAGTTTCTGATCAGTTTTGCCTACAAAAAGATGATTTACTTCAAAAAAAAAAAAAAAAACCTGAACAGGAAAACCATAATAAACATTCTGTTATTCACTCTGGCACCTTTTCCAAAATCACCACCTTGAAAACCTCATTGAGGCTATGAGAAGCCTCAGTAAAGTTTCTGATTGAGGAAGAAGAGGTTGGGCAAAAACTAAAAACTGAGTAAATTTCTCAAGCTTACCATTTGCTGTTCCAAAGGCAGTCTCCTAATGAAGCGACCTTGACTCGGACCGAATTCTGGATTTAACCCAACTGAGAAATCTTGTCACCTGAGTATAGACTCCTGGCTTGTTTTTCAAACCACACTCATCTCCCCAGCTCACAAGGCCGTACACATAGTAGGAACCATTTTCTACACAAGTTAGTGGGCCTCCAGAATCTCCCTGAAGAGAAAAATCAATACAAAATACAAAATCTGAAGCAATCTACTGCATTTACAGTAAAAGAATTCTCTTCCTCCATTAAAAGACTTCAAGTAATTCTTTTTTCCTGACAGCTATTGCAATGGATGCTGCTTAATTGGCCCTTTGGATGGGCAATTCTTTCAGAACCAGGTCAGATGAAACTAGACTTGCTTAGATGTAAGATTTTGTTTAAGTCTTTGACGTGTATCTGACAAGGTCGAATGAAATTTCCCAGGCCTGAAGTACTGGAAGTAGCCCCTAAAAGATAACGATGTGATCCTATGCCTAAATGAAAGTACCTGCACCCTGCCAAAATTACAACAGCAGACTTCTTTTCTGAGATGCCTGATCTCATTTTGCAGTTTTATTGCTGGTTCCCATTGCTTAGTGTATTTGCAGAAGTAGTTTGCACGTCAAGGGGCATTGCTTGAGCTCTTATCCACATTTACAACAGTGTAAATATGAACTTGCTTCCCATTTGCACTACTGTAATGAAAAGAAACATCAATCCTGATTTTCCCTATAAGTATTAGCTCTGATTGTGGAGATAAAGTTGGAATTTTTGCTGAGAGCAGATGCTGTAACAGAACGGAGAGAAAAAAAACCCAAAATTTTTAGCTTATTCTGATAAACTGCCTCAGAAACCAAACTTTTCCAGGCAGGTCTCTAGCTTCCATAGATCTGCCTGTGGCTGACAGGGCTCACATTAGCTCTAGGGATATAAATCTCAAACTATACTGAAGAAAGATGATGGCTCTTGAAATACACTGATGGGAGAAACAGATACATATGCAGTACCCTTCCAAAGCTATTACTCTGCACAGCCTGACTATTTACATGAGAAATTAGTGTTCAAATACAGAAAAAGCAACAGACCTGACAGGAATCAATTCCAGACCTCTGAAGATTCCCTGCGCAGAACATGCTTTCATCCAGGATGTGATCGTATGCTCTTGGCGCGTTGCACTGCCTCTGCGAAATCAACTTGACATTGGCATCTAGCAGCTGATGGGATTCTTCATCTACAGGATGTGCACCAGAAAATCAAGTCACCTTCCTCCCAAACCTGTTTTATGTTGTCTTTGTTCAAAATACGAATGTGTTGGCCCTTTGGATGGGAAAGGCGATTTGGGGGTGGAGGGTGAGGATTTCGTGGGCTAGTCGCTCTCAGTTAATATGGTTTGAGCCTGGAAGCTTCACTCGGGTGCTGAGGTTGTTGCCTGAACAAAAGCAAAATCAGAATCTGGCTCAGATCAGCTCTCCATGTGGCACTCTGCTTTTCAAGGTGCCGGTCTGCAGCTCCCAGTGGTCTCAGGGGTTGTCAGTGAGATGTGTTCAGCAGTTCTCAGACTGGTACCATGGGCTGTTTTAATGAGCAAACTAATGAAACAGGTGGGAACCGAAAATTATACAATATTTGAAGGCAAATGATTAATTATAGTGGATCTAAAGACATTAACTTGACATCTAAAGGCAGTAGCCAGATTTTCCACGTACTACATCTGTAGGTAATTAAAGGTGATTTATAAGTTCGGTTATACTTGAGTTTCAGGAAATATTCCATTTCTACACTGATTTCCTGAAATGCTAATAATAGCTCTGCTAAGAGGAGCCATCTAGTTTGAACATGAACAGGGTACTTCATATTCTTTGTTGGAAAAAAAATAATAAAAAAAAATCCCCATACCCTTTTTAAGAGACTTTTTATTTGGAACTTTAAAAAATGTCCATTAAATTCTGTTGGTGCATTCTGATCAAATGAATACATTTGTCTCTTGTGGACTTCAATGAGAGTTACATCAGAAGGGAGAATATGGTCCTAAGTATCGTATCTGGCTGTATCAGTCACAAAGCAGTAGGACACCTACTGCAGCCTCCGTGACACATCTTCCTTCTGCTGCTTTACAGCAACACATCAATCAGAACATGAGAAAATGCATTTTTCAGAAAATTGCCATTATCTTTTTTTTAAGCATAGTAATTTCTCCCCTCAGGATTTACTGTGGGCAAGAAAGGTTTCGGATAGCACTGGTTGAACTTGAAAAGCTTTGGATTTTTTTCTTATTTTATTTTTCCATGCATCTGAAGATCCAGATGCTGCTTCTAAAAAGCTTTATCTGACCCAATGGGTTGGAAAACCAGGTGAAAGTTCCAGTCTCTCTCAGTCTGGTCTCAAAATACACAATCTATACAATAGTCTCTCCCTCTTGATATTTTCTTGCTTCTGTTACTGGCTCCAGATGAAACCAAGACATGGTGTATTTTATGGCAAACAAACAAACAAACAAACAAAAGCGAACCATTCTTTTTTTCAAAACTTTCTGACAGGTTTGGTCGGTCTAATAATTGGAGATGTCAGCTAGTGATTAATTTCTTAGGATGGTTTACCTGTCTTTGATTTTGAATTTCAAAATTTCATTTTGGTTTCACTGCGTGCCTAGACCCATCTTTGGTTCTAGCAATTGTCACTGATGGTGCCAGGCTTCTGTACCAAGGAAGCATCAACCGAAGACAAGATAGCCCACAAATACCTGTCTCTGTGGCACCCCATCCTGAAATGAAGCAGTCAGTGCCATCAGGAAAGTCAAAGTTAGGCAAACACGCTGTTTTCACATACTTCGTTTCCACAGCACAGTGACCATCAATTGGCTTCAGCTTCAGGAGTGCTGGATACAAGATAAAAAGCAGTAAAAATATTTATAATTAACTCTAGTCCTTATCAGTTGCTAGCACACCGTCATGAAGGCTACAATATTTGATATGTTATTTACATTACATGCTGCGTCTGTCGCCTTTTTTTATTCTTTCCACACCATGACTTCTACCTGGCCATCATGATTCCCATCCCAAAGATCCAAGGAATGGGATCCACGATTTGGCCTAATTATTTCCAGAATATATTATCAGATGGAAATTTCACACTGACTTCAGTTGGAGAGAAGTGTTTCAAGCAACTGAGGTGAGCCACATGATTACTCAAGAGGAGGGATTTACCAATATCATTGTATTGGACACCGTCTGTTTCTTTGTATTTGTAATGTACAATGGTCTTCTCCACATCAAATATTTGCTCTTGAGGCTCTCTCTTCTTGAGGTCTTGCTTTCCAAGGGCCACTTGGAGATGTTCTGCTGAGAATCTGTAAAAAGAATAAAGCAAATTACATGTAGACATTGTCTGTCAGAGTGGTGATAACCTACTGCTTTAGTATGTGGAAGTCAAAATAGCTGCTTCCTGTTGTTGTAGAGCACAGGCAGGAGATTTCAAGAGGTTGTTACAGGAGGACTTAGTCAGGAAAGCTGTGATGTTGGCCTATATATGTGCTCTTAACTTGTTGCAGCCATGATGGGTAGTAAGTTTAAAGATGCATGAATGTGCTTTTCTGGGAAACATTTGGCTATGACAAAGAGTGGTAACTTGTGGAGCTATGGGACTATAATTACTTACAATTAAAATAATCTGTGACAGAATATTGGATGGAGTGTAATGTGCCAATACTTAAGGTTATCAGTTTCTAACACTTCTTCAGCAAAAAAAGCGCAAAGAAGTTAGAAATGTAACATCATAAGCTAACAGGCACATAAGCAATTGGAAACAAAAAGCATGTTTTGGCTCTTCTGCCTCTTTTAGCTCAATTCGGGTGATTAAGAAAGTAAGTTTAATTTCTTTTAGCAAGTACATTTTTAAATACATGTGCATTTTCATGTACATGCTTCATGTATATATATATATATATATCTTTTTCATGTGTATCCTTTTCAAAATTTGATTCCCAGCAATTATTTGGATTGCAAATTTCAAGGCATCTTTAACAGGCACTCTCCGTTTTTATGTTTAGCTACCTAGACATAGGACTTGCACCTACTCAATGCAATGTCCAGCAGTAAGAACCCAGCATGGTTTAATTAGCACTCCACCACAGAAATGCCTGCCCCTCCTGGAAGTCTTTTTCTGTAGAGATACCATCCATGGGTGTTTGCCAGCTTTAGTCTTGGCTCCACCATAGATCCTCTTGAGTGGCCTTTGACTTTCTACTTGTCCACATGTTTTGAATTCTTCATTTGACACAGGTGGGTCAGTTGGGCTCTCTGTTTCTTCTGGGATCTCTTCAGCTGCATTGGGAGAGACAGCAGATGTGTAATGCAGGGATTATATTAGAGTGGGATGGAAAGCTGTGATTGGGAGAGTTAAGTAGCAGGGGGTGACTCCCAGTCCCTGGGACAGCTGGCTGCATTACAGTTCTGCAGGCATGGCTCATACCTATGAAAGAAGGTATTTGTTTCTGGGGGCTCAGGGGTATGATGGAGATGATTTGGAGTGACATTTTGGGAAATGAGGAAGTAGAGTTAACAAAAAAACAAAATATTTTATCTGACTTGCAAAATCCTATACCTGGTATTAGACATAACTCTGTCTCTAGTAATTATTCTGTTAGAACCCCATTGCCTAGGTAAAATAGTCCAAATGGAAATACTATCATTTTTTGGACATCCAAATCAATGTCGTAAAGGGTCTTCATGTGGAAGATCTGCTGCGAATCCTCCCAATGTGTGCCATCCCTCTTCCATCTCCTGACCTAGACTAAACCTGACAATAAGAAGACCCAGATAAAGAAACAAAAATAATCTTTAAGGACTCTTGAAATATTTAGGCTTTGTCAGATCTAGCTCTGCCCAGAAACAATTCAGTCTGAAGTAGGTGAGCTCATTCAATCACCACTAACTTTTATTGTAGTTTCCCAATATGCCTTTGGATAGATCCTCACCAATGGTAAATCCCAGAGCCTCACAGTAAGCCCTGCAAATTCTATCTCTAGTGTCACTTTGCTATACTGTGGGTATGTGATTGTGCCCTGATGTATGGGGTGCTTCCAGGCAGTGAGCAACCTGAGCAGTTTCCCTTCTAGATACATACGCTGCAGTACACCTAAAGGGCCATGGCAAATATGGAACTTGAAGCTGAATTTAACTGCTTTGAACTTGGGTACTCTGAGTACTGCAGGAACCACTTATGCTGGGGCAGAACTTACAGGAATTCTATTTAAAATAAAATAATAAACATACCACAGTTTTGCGGCAGTGACTTGTAATGTATCAGTGCCTCCAGCTCAAGGCACCTGTTGGCTGGAGCACCTTTACTCTGCCAAACAGCTTGCTTAAAATTTTCCACTCTACCTGTTCCTGAGCAGGGTGAAACGTCACAGAAGTCCCAATCCACTTTGTTATTGTTTTTGATGTAGCACCAGGGTTTTTCATCGCCATCGGGATTCCTGAAGGGAAGAGTTGACAGCATCAGCCAACCAGACTGGGAGAATCTCCATGAAACTGGCTTACCGGGGACACTTAGCAGAGTATCCTCGTGTTCCATCAGGAGGACAGAGCTTTCAGAAATATTATTTTTGAGAAAAGGACTCCTTTTGAGTTTTGAGAAAGATGGTGTCTGAGATGGAGATGGGGAGGAAAAAGAGGGTCTCTGTCACTATTCCCACACTCATCTTTGAGAAAAAAAATAGGTAATTCAGAGAAATTAGGGACCCTCTGCAAGTCTCAGATCAGTACAGTCACTTAGGAAATGCCGCTATAACACTCTGCCATCTTTTAGACAGGCAGTGCATCACAGGATGTGAGATCTTAACACCACCTAAAGACTTCCCTAGCTTTGCCATGGGAGCAGCTTGTACTCACTGTTTTCCTCTGCAGTTGCTTTTGCAAAACACTACCTGCAGAAGTTATGTTCACCAATGCCATAAGAGTCAGCATCCTTCATAAATGCATTAATGGGGTAGTCCAAGAGAATGTGGGAATTCCAGTGCAGGCAAGTCTTTCCATTCACTGCTTGGTTCACTTTTCCCCTGTACTGGAGGGAGCCCTCTTCATAGCAATCATCCAGTCCTGTAAGAAGAAAATTCCGATATAAAAATATCTCTTCTGATGTTCCTTCCCTGAAACAGCTCCTCTTCCTTTCCCTTCTTGCCCTACTGTCCTATTTATGGAGGAGCAGAGGAACTGTAGGACCTGACAGTTCACATAATGATAATCCTTTACATTAGCTAGGACAGAAATAAGAATCATGCCCCAATATATCCAGTCTGCACATGGACTGGCTTCAAAGTCTGAAACTTCTGTGCATTGTGAGAACTTAATGGCTAAATGGTGTCTTTTAAAACTAGGATAACTCCCTCAGTGGCCTGTCCAAGAAAAGTTGTCACCAGGGTTAGCCAGAATTGGTTGCAGAATTGCTATCATGACAAGGGAACAGATGTGCCAAAAGGAACATTGTGAGCTGTGGACCTTACCTGTAGGCAGTTGGAGGGAAGGTCATCTGCAATGAGGTGCATTCATCTTACACGGAGTTTGTCTGAAGTGCAATAAACTTTTTGCAAGAGAAGGAAGCAAGTTCTGTTCCTCAGAAGTACGTGTGGGCTGTGGTGGCTGTGGTGTTTGAGAAACCCTGACTTCCCTTACGCAGGGGTCACATAGGACCTCTGGAAATGTGTTTTCATTCATTCTTTGCTAGTGAGAGCTAGTTGAAGCACAATTCAGCAAATATCAATACAGGAGCTGTTTTGGCCCCTGTGGCTGATGGTGACTTTACCTCTGGAGTGGTCACGTACCAATTTCACAGGTTCTCCCTCTAAATGGTTCAGGACATTCACAGCTGAATTTTGATCTGATTCTGTGCCGTATACAGATACCTCCATTTTTACATGGATTTGGCCTGCATGGTGAAGATGCTGTCAACATGGAAAACAAAGATCAGGTTTGTAGCTCTGCTAAAAGCTGTGCAGCCTCTCACACGTTTGATGGAAACGAGAGAAAGCTCCCATTTAGCTTGCAAGCTTTAACTTCTTATGAACTCTAAAATGCTCATGACCATAGTGAAGAGCTGCCACCTTGTAAATCAAACCTGAATGTCTGGACCGGGGTTATGCTCTGGCGGGACTGTGCTCACCTCGGCGGCAGTCAGGCAATTTGTAGGGGTGGCTGCAGCTGCACTGGAAGTAAGGTGAGGTTAAGGTAATGAGGCAGTCTCCTCTGACGCACCTCTTCTCCAGACACGTGTCTTTCACTGTGGTGAGGCCCGATAAAACAGAAGAAGGAGATATTGCATCAGCATTTCCTTATCACAGCATCTGCAGCAAAAGGGCTGTAAGACCCACAGGCAACTCACGACTGTCTGCACCACTGGGAGCTGAGCTCTCTGAACACGTGTTGTGCATTTACTGGGCATTGCTTTAAAAAGATGCTAGTCCAGCCTATGAGCTGGATGCAAGATCCATTGACACGGCTACACAGGGCTGCCAAAACCCTCACATTGGTGAAAATGGTTTCCTAAAGCACTGTATTTGCTTCCATTGATGCAGCTGTAATGGTAACGTTGGTCATGGAGATAAGGAATGTAAGTCAGGGGAAGCAGCAGTTACCTTTCTCACACGTGGTGCCGGTGTATGGCTGGGGGCAGTGGCAGCTGAAATGACTTCCTTTTTTTTCACACCAGCCATCATTCTTGCAGGGATTGGAGGAACAGGGATCTGCCAGGGTAAGGACAGCCATTTTTTTAGTTTTACTTTCAGCTTCTGCACCTCTGTCACTTGTGTTCTCAAGCTTTTTGACCAACTAACAGGTGCCCTCAGCTCTGTGCTGGTAAACCAGAAAGCTGGTAAACCTCTCCACTCCACACCAGGCTGCCAGCACTGCCAGGTGCTGAGGCAAGCAAAGGCAGCCACCTACCACCTCTGCTTTCCTTATGCAAGACATAACCCTAGGGCAGGTTGTAACCGGCTGCCTGCCTCTTATTTTGTGTTCAAAAGAAAATTGGCATTCAAATTCAGAGCAGTTTTGAGGATCCTTTCCTGCTCTCCTGAAGTGTGGCGAAACACAAAAAGAAATCTTAGAGAGAAAGAGGGAAAAAAAAAAGAAAAAGAAAGAAAAAAAGAAAACCTGCTCTACATTTGGGTTCTGAGCATAAATACAGAACATATATCCCATGAAAACAGCAATTACATCTTACAGTGTCTATAGACAAATAAGCCTGTGTTTTTTGTAGTAGCAATCAGAAATGTTCTGCATGATCAGAATCCGTCCTGTGAAACCCAGAGATAAAACACAGGCTCCTTACAAGAGAAATACAAAGGAGAACACTGCAAACAATCCTCCTAACTCGTCTCTTTGATGCAGGCATTTCGAGAGCATGCTGGCAGATGAGGCCTGCCATGCTCACACTGAAAATGTAGTGTTGGGATTTTACCCCTTCCTCGCCTCCCTGCCCACCCCACAGAGGTGCAGAGTTGCTAATACCTTTTCTAGCACTACTGTAGCCAAACATTTCCTCAAACCAGTCGGGATCCTTCGCATATTCACTCTGGAGGGGCTCCCCTTCTGGCTCTGTGTACTCATCGTAGTACTCATAGTTGTCAGGCTGGTCTGGAGGGAGAGAGAAGAGAAGGGGGGGAAGCACAGAAGTATTAAAATGCAGTTAAGAAGGTGTTAAAAAAATCAGGCCTTGACGGGGCCGGGCTTTTTCTCCTGACTTGGGGCATCACAGCAACAATGGGTCCAAACTTGCATCCTTTGGGAAGCAAGGCAGGACTTAGCTGCCCTTGCCGGTATCGTGAAGCACAACCTGCATCTGGCTGGATCACTGCAGTGTGAGGTTCGCACCCAAGGCCTCTTCCAACACAGACCTTCCTCGAGGGAGTGAGGGGAGCCGCGGGCGGACACGGCGGAGCCGCCGGCTTCGCGAGCGCTCGGCAGCCTCCCACCGGCTCTGCATCCCGCCCGGGGGCAGCCCCGCGGCTCCGTCCCCGGCCCGGGTGCTGATTGAGGGGGGCTGGCAGCTCTCTGCGGGGACACGCGCCCAGCGGGAGCCACACGGGTGTTCACAGACGCTATGGGAATGAGCAAAGCTGAGCTACACACAGAGACGTCTTAGAAAGCTCTCCCCTAGGGCCGGCCCGATGGCCCCGTGGATAATGCTCTGCCTCGGACTGATTATCGGCTGCATTATCTTAGTTTTCTCCCTTCATTCATTCCCTTGCAGCCTTTATCTTTAGTCTTTGCTCCTGAAAAAAAGGATATTCCACTTTTGTACAATGGGTGTTTTATATTTCATATTAAAATAGAACAGTTTTTTTTCTTCTTCTTTTTTTCTTCTTCTCATTTTTTTTTCTGCATGCCAACTCTCCTTTCTCACCAAAAAGAAAAAAAAAAAAAGACAGGAAAGTTTCACCTCATTTATTGCTCTGTCAAGTCAAGACTCCTTTTCCCCAGCTCATTATTTCCATGGGAGCTGAGTCTTGGCAGCGTGCAAGTGCTGCAGGAGTGGGTTCCTCGCTGGGGAACAGGAGGATCTCGCTGGGAGATAAGGACAATGTCTGCAGTGAGCAAAATTAAATTTAATGTGATGTAGTTAAGAAAGGAAAACAAAAAGGGGGCTTTGCCTGGAGTGCAGCCCACCAGCTTGCTGTGTGTGGGTCTCGAGACCTTGCAAGCTGACTGGAAATTGAGGGACAGTGCCAAAGGAGTTAGTTTGATTTTGTTTCTCCTGTTTATTTTACAGAATCGTAGCGGGAAGCGTTAGCTTTTATTCCACAGGTGCTTTAAAGAGTGGTTCCGAGGGACTGGGCGGCCCTTTTCATACAAAGGTGGTACCTGCAGTGTTAAGGGTGCACTTGAAGAGGGCTCAGAAAATACCAGCACTTTTGGGTACTCCAGCTGCGAATACTGAGACTCAGTGAAGTGGAGCCATCCGACTGGGAAACCCTGCCCAGGCTGGCATAAGATTGCAGCAAAGCTGAGAACTCACCAGTCCCTGCAGTATCTATCACAGCCCTCCCTTTAGTTTATGGAAAACTGGAAAATGAAAGAGCAATGACAAACTACGTGAGTGAGAGTTCCCACCTTCCAGCCACTCTGTGTCCTCCCCAGCAGCATGAAGCAGTAAGAAACAAAAGCCCTGACTCGGATACATGACATCAAACTGAAATGTATCTTCCTATTTATCACTGCTTCAACACTAAATAACTATTTGGCTTCCACATCTCTTATTTAAGAAGTATTCCCATTCCATTTTTTTAATTATTCATAACAAGCCATAGGTTTAGTAAAGCAAAAGGAACATTTTTTTATCTGAGCACATAATTAACGCACAAAGTCTGATACACTGGTTGCATTAAACGTATTACTAAATCAGAGTGTTCATTTTTTGTAAGTGCTGGAAAACCTTAACATGCTTAAAAAAGCAGTGATCTGACATTTGTCACTGAAATGTGACTATTACATGAAATTAAATTAGACATCCTGCATGCAAATTTTCAAAGAATAACTTTCCTCTGTGTAGTACAAAAAAAAAAAAATCACCCCATAATTGATAGGCAGGGATTGACTTTTAAAGCTTCAAATCAGCTTTGAGGTTTGGGTGATCTTTTAAACTGCTCGAGCTTTCATCTGCAGGTTTTCACATTGCCAAGAGCTGCCAATCAAGTAATGGATTTCTGATCAATATCCCCTTGTTCATTAGCTTACACGGACTCTCTCTTGCGGAGAGAATAGATAGCCCAACACTGGCAGTCACACTGTTTTCAAAACCTTCACCGGATCAAGTCATGACTAATGTTCCAAGTGGGAATATGATGCATTCGAATGCCATCTGAGTGACCTGAATTGCAAGGTAACTTTGCTGGACTGCAGTTGTCAGGATGAGTGATGGGCAAAGTTAAAGCCACTGCAAACACACATCAAGGTGGCCATGAAGCACCCAGCATTTATTCCGGCTCTCAGGACCTCTGGGGACTGGCTGACATCTGCTCTAATTTCGGCAGGCTTTTTCTCATAACCTTTCTAAAGATTTTCTTTTTCTGGGAGGAATAGAAAGCTATTTTATGTGGCTGAAATCCTGACTGTATTTTAAATGATGGTAGATCTGCCATTTACCTCTACAGAGACAAGATAGACATCATGGTACATTGGCCCTTCCACATGGGCCTTGGCTGAGGGTATCTGCAGCTTTGAAGAGGGATTGCAAAAGAATAGCAATGCTGGCAATCCTTCAAATACTGTTTTGTGGCTGTTGCTTCACTGCAGTTTCGCAGCGACTTTTCCTGGGAATGGCAGGGCTCCATGCAAGGTTGCTGAGGAAAGCTGGAGGAGAAAGAAGTGAGGGACGCCCAGGAGAGAGGGAATTGGGACAGTGCTGGGACATGAGAGAAAAGCAGAGGGATTATATAAAAATGAAGCAGCAGGAAGCTGCTCGGGGCCATAAAGGGCATGGAGGGACTGAAGTAACTTGCCACCAAAGGCCTTCAACCCAAAGGGAGCTCCACCACCAAAGGGCTTGCACAAGGCTGTCGTTAAGGTAAATCCAGCCAAAAGGCTAACAGCAGGGAGCCAAGTGCATGACTGCATGACTAAATATTTGTACAAGCTCAATACTGAGCTCAAACACCGGAATCATTCTGAATGTTGTTTTACACATACATCTTACTAAAAGAGTAGGGCTGATTTGAGGACAGAAGCAGTTGCACGACCTTCAAGGCAGCTGGGTTCCTAGATTTCACCAGGAAGCCAGAAAGGTAATTAAATGAACAGAGGTACAGTTAAATAAGGAGTGCTTGGTGAAAGCCACATTATTTTAGCATGAAAAGAGGTGAAATTATTAGTTATAAATTTTAAGTTTAGATCTAAGAACCACTGAAATGAAGAAAAGAAAGAGCAGGTTTAACTCTCAAATTACTAAACTTAGCAATAAAACCTTAATTATTCACATAGATCACATAGGCTATTAAGGAATTACAAATGCTCACCCTACATCTACACATCTGCACACAACATCCATCACAACCTCACTCCCAAATCACTCCTTTTCCTGCTATTAACATTTTAACATCCAAAGTCACCAAAGACTTTTACTGGCATGAAGCAGGAAATACTTTTTGAACCTGCTTGCAGTTTGGACATCTGTAGACGCTTGCAATATCAAGTCCCATAATTAGCCATATGCTGCAAAGAAGGATGAACCTGCAGGAATCTGACCCTCAGTTTTTATGCCCAACTCACACAGCCAGGCTCCTTCCTCATCCTCTTCATCCTGAGGATTGCAGTCTGGCACAGGGACCCACTGAGCAGATCATGTCAGACCCTGTTTGCCTGCGGATCCCTCAATGTGTATTGAGCACCTCAGGCCTCAGAGGGGCCCAGAGAAGACCTGGCTTTGACCTGCACTGAGAGAGGCTGGACTCTCCCAGGACCATCTGCAGATTGGTACCACAGCAGCTCACAACAAGGATGCAGAGTTGTCTAGTTGTCACCTGCCCCAAGCAGAGCACATGGGAATGTTTGACTCCATGCGGAGACAGGGAAAAAGTGAATCTGCAGGTGTGAGTGAAACATGAGGGGTATGTTTAGGCAAGGCTTACTGGACTGAAGTTAGGCTTTGCTGGATGATGTGTTTTATTTTAAGTGCAACAGAAATGTTCATGAAGTTCTTAAAACTCAGTGCCAGGGACTAGCTAGGGGTCTTGGTGAAGCAGGTTGCATCTCCTATGCATCACTTACTTTTACAGAGGAAATTGAAAGCACTTACCACTCAGAAGGTCAGTCAGGAAGAAGAGACTGCCAGACTGCAGGGGATAAAGAAGGGTAGAGAGTCAGTTTCTGAAACCACCAAGACAACAGGAGCTTGGTTTGCAACACACGTTGTGGCAGGTTCTGTTCTGCCCTGGGACATGAAATCCACGTCAGCTCTTGACCTCTTTCGGAGCTGAATGAAAAGGCTGTATTTTTAAGTGCCCTTTCAGAAGATAATCAAAATATCAACTACTCTCAACAGCTTATAGGTGAGTTCTATCTCTTCTGGGTACCCAACTTTAGTTGCAGAGCAAAATGCTTTCAAAAAACACATCCTGAGTGAGATAAATTGCCCCTTCGCTTAATAAGTGACCATGCATTGACTCCTTATCTCACGTCACTTCTCTGAAGTGACACAGGCCGTGCTCCAGCACGCTGCACAAGCCAGTGGCTGTGACATGCTCTGGCATGACAGTGCCCAGGTCAGTGCGTGCTGGCACAGCACAGGAGCCCAATGAGGTTTGTGAGGTCTGGACCTTCGAGCTGGAGGGCTGTCAGCAGCGCTTGGGTGGACGAGAGCATTGCTGGTACTTCCTGCAAGGAAATGCCATGCGTCTGACCTCCAAATGGGGCTCCAGCCTTTCCTGTTTGGCTCATGATCAAGGGCAAATGACAAAAAGGAAGAGAAGAAGAACAGCCCTCGGCCTTTGAAGAGGGTGAGCGGGGGTTGTCTGGAAGGAAACGCACTGACTCCACACCAGGACTCATCCTCCACATGAAGAATTCAGCTTATGTTTCCTTGTGCACTAAATCACAGTGGCAGACAGAATTCCCTGGCTGTGATGAGAATATCCATGCTAACAACGGGCACAAGGGAGTAGATTTGGAGCTGCTGTTCTTCATCCGTCACAGAATTTGTAGGAAGGAAGTGTAATTCCAAACAAATTGGTGTATGTATTCAAGGCAGTATATACACACACAGCATAAAAACTCCCAGTTAATATGTGTACTTATGCAATGCTGCAGATACAATTAACTAAATATACGCATTGTTTAGTTTTACATTACATAAAGAAATGGCATAGAGAAGAAAGGCATTCACAGCTAAACACTGATTGTATACAAGAATGAATGAATGAGAAACTGGACAAATAAGTTAGAATTTGCATTTGGGAATACTGCCTGGAATGTGTAAACGAATTTGCTTTG